ATTAAAATACAATATTTCGGATGCAAATTAATCAACAGAAGCAGGAAACCATTGCATAAAGTTAGAGCATGCTACATTTTTGTTAATTCGCCATCAAAAACAACTGGTTTTATAACACAAAAATTATATGCCTTTTTGTACACTCTATATTCTCTCCATAGCAACAGAAAACACACTATAATGCTAAAAAAAATGTAAGCATCCTCATTTATATATAGTGTAAATAATACCAGACAGTCTCAGATAATTTAAAGCAGTAATCGAATCCCAGGACTCAGGTGACAAACGTAAAGTCCTCAAGGTTTGCTCTTGTAGCTTTTGATGTTACCTGAACCCCTTGATTGGATTGCTATCTTGTAACTCAGTGAGAGGTATCCAGTAGCCTCTTTGTATTACTCACCCACCATGGCTTCTCTTATAACAAAGTGTTTTTCTATTTGCGCAAGTAATTAACTTCTGACGCTTGCACATCTGCTTAGGACGTACATAGCCAGCAAGATCTGAGCTCAGAATGGGAGTTTGCAAAGCAAGTAACAAGCTGTCTCGAATAATTGAAAAAAGATTAACCTCTTTGGTAGTGCAGTGTATGTTAATGTGTTAACTATTAAATGTATCAAAAACTCAACGATTCTGGGAGCAGGTAATAACTTTTGGCATTTTGCAATGCGCCCAACTGTGGTTTATGGAAAGCGTATGCTGTGGTCACATAATTCAATTTGATTTTAACAAGCTCCACTTCCGTACTAATACATGTATTTAAGATAAGGGGCAATTTTCTCCATCGGCAGAATTAGTGCCATGAGGAGCAATGACAAGAGAACAGCTGGAGATGTAGTAGTACTGGATTATGTGCATTTCAAATGGAAGTTGAGCATTTCCTCTCAGCATTATGAGCAGTAGCTAGCTGTTAACAAAGGCATTGGTGAAAACACAAGTTATAGCATCAATCAACGTTGGAAGTCGCACTAGATTTTCTGTCAGCTTTTGAGCCTCCGCAGACATGGGAAGAGAGTACTTCATTGTGGTCTGAGTTGACCCCAAGTTTCCAAACCATTGGCCGAGTACTGCAGCTCTGCCAGAATGTGAAAAACCTGTATTAAGAAATGCCAGATGTGGACCATTGGTGTACTAACAGAGGCAGACAGAGAGGAGTAACTAGGAGGTAAAGATACACAATTAATAGACTTTCTGCAAGTTCTAAGACTATATTATTGGGGAAATGGTCTGCAGACACACCTGTCTTGCAGGAACCTCCTTCAGTGATATATCAACCACAGATTAGCAAGGGATGGGAGGGTGCTGTCAGCGGTTAAACTCCCAACCCTAACCTTTGAAAGTCACTACGACAGGAATGTCCCTAAAGCAGGCTCCTTTAAAGCTTTGTCTTAGTAGGCAACAGCCAATGATCCATGTCAACATCAATCTAGAACATGACTGAAGTCTTGCTCACTTATTGCAAACTTAAATCAACTTCCATAGCGTTGAGGAGAGTCAAAAACAATTCTATGCCATTGCAGGGTGGGACTTTGGGTTGAACACAGGTGACAGTGAACAGATGGGAAATCTCAAAGTGAGGTGCTTCCACTCTCTCAATGTGCAGTTTGTGTGTGATGTATTCCACAAGATCTTGAATATCGATGCAGAATATCCCAGCTCAATGCTTGACACTTTGCACTGCACAATTCAACAACTTGTACTTCTTAGCACCTTTCAGGACTTGAAACATAAATGAAACTGAGGATGGAGGATAGAAAGGGAAGTTTAAGGGTGTTGACCAAATGTGAGGTTAAAGAGAGGTTTTTACAAGTATTTGTAAGTTGGGGAAGGAAGGGGTAAAGTGAAGGGATTTGGGGAGAGAATTCTCCAGAGCAGTGTTTAGTAGCTAAAGGCTCTCCCACCAATGGTAGGTGGTAGATGGAAGGAGTAAGGAAGATTAGTATACCAGACTTAAAAGAGCAAAAGATATGATCAGGAGAATGGAGCTAGAGGAGATTGCCAAAACTGAAGGGATTTGAATGTCAGGAGAATGTTTTGGTCCAAAAGGCATAATGTGTGATTTCAAGCAGAGCTAAAGCAAAGTAGAATGCCAAGGCTGTGCACTGGCAAAGTTATCAGTGGGATTTCCCTATTATAAGACCATCAGCATCAGGAACTCCCGACCAGTAAAGTGTCACCTTTTCAATTTTAACCACATATTATTTTCTGTATCTTAATATTTGAATTTTGGTACAATCTATTGGATAATTGTAGCAGTGGACATTTTAAATTGGTTTGGTGATACCAGGAGGGCTTTTAAGCTTTGAGGTGTGCAAGAAATATGTAGGGCATTACACTGGTGGTAGAGCATCCCTCTTATTCTCCATGACACCAAGACCCATAATGTACAAGTGCTGCAGGCACCTGTGAAAGTGAAGATCTTTATCACAAGGCAAAGAACAGCCTGGATCCATGCAACCTGGTTTGTTTGTGCACCGCTAGGAAAGGTTTATGGATTGTTGTTGATACCTTAGTGCCATGCGGTTAATTAAGTAATAATTCACACATGTATTATTTTTATTTTCAGTGGGGGTGATTTGTTTATTATCAGGATCTAGGGATAATCAATCCCTTTCAAATATATGTGGACGATAAAAGATTGGTAATTAAATTAAGGAAGTAATTTAAATAAATGATTCTCAAGACATTATGAAGCATCAAAGCAAAGTCTGAACAGCAGCAAAACAAATGGTTGTATTAGTTGCTTTAATCTGGCTGCAAATCTATTAGTTGTTCCTCACAAAAATATGGTATGGTCAATTACAAAGATAACTTTTTGTAATAAGAATAATCCTTGTATTAAATATAGTCTTATCGCGACGCTGAGCAGTCTCAAAGCACTTCACAGAATATACTGTAAAGTGAATTGACTGTATATTTTGTGGGCAAAATGCAGCAGCCAATTAAGTATAGCAGCGTCCCACAACCAGCTGTGGAGTTCAAACAGGAGTTCAAGATCCTCGTCCTCACCTTTAAGGCCATCTATGGCCTTGCCCCCTCCTACCTCTCTGATCTGCTGCCTCCCTACCAAGCTGCCCGCTCCCTCTGCTCATCAGGCTCTAGCCTGCTCCATGTCTCCCACCCGACCCACCCTACCATCGGTGGCCGAACTTTCAGCCTCTCTGCCCCCACACTCTGGAACTCCATCCCACGGTCCCTTCGCCTCACTTCCTCCCTCGCATCCTTCAAGGTCGGTCTCAAGACCCTTCTCTTCCACCGTGTCTTTGGTCTCCCTCCCACCTCTCTGCCTTCCCTCACTCCTACACCACCCCTCCCCCATGCTCAGCCCCAACATCTGACTGTTCACCCCTTTCAACTTCCTCCCAACGTGAAAGGCGCTCTATAAATGTCATTTTGGTATTGCTGTTGTTGTTGGATTGCGTGACCAACTTTTTCACTATTATCCCTGCACTCGATTGGGGTAGACATGGGATGAAGTAGATTATTAGTCAGACCCAAGATATATGGCATCACATGACTTAGACTATAGTACTCTTGTGTGAATCCATTCACAATGTTCTATCAATGTTGAAAAATGGAACAAAATTAAGTAGAATTTATTGGCAAGCTTGCACTTGAAATTATTTTCTTGCAAATGATTTCCTAAGAATCAGGAACCTGCAAATTCACTTGGTTTCCTTTTGACATTTTGGGAAAAACTGGTGGTGGGTAAAAAAATGTCTTGTCTTAATGTGATCTATTTGGGAATTGAAATACTGGTGCAAGTTCACAAAAATGTTTCCATTTGGTCACACCAAATGCTGGTAATAATATGTTGATGGGGAAAAACTCTGATAAAAAGTACACTCATAAGGAAACCAAACCAACACACTGAGGCAGCATAATATGCCACGTGTGGTTTGAGAATCAATATAAGGTCACCCGCTGTTGGTGCTGAGATTACTGTTTCTCATCTTAGTTGCATGACCACCACAGTCCCAAATGTTCCTCCCACTTGTGAGGTAAATTCACTGTGCATGTTTTTTTTTAGTTTAAAGTTTATTCATTCTCTGTTATTCAAACTAAAAATACTTATCACTCACAAGTTATTCAGACATGGAATTTGAATCAATGGTTTCTCTGTGCATGTGTTACCCTGGAATATGAAGCTATAAAACCTCGGGAAATTTGTGAAAGTGGGATCTGTTTATGTCAGCACAGATTGTCACTAACACAATTGACACTGATGTAGAATATTAAGTATTGAATCTCACTGTCTTTCACTTCATTGTCATTATTAATTTTGTAATAACGCTTTGCTTAACATGGCTTTAACGCTCATAGCTTCCCAAATTCAAATCTTCATTCCCTGCCCATTTCCTCACCTAATCCTTTTTTGCCCTGTTTTTGTGTTTTATCTGTTTCTGTGGAACTTAATTACCATTCCTTAACCAGTTCATGTTATCATGGCCTGGACTGTCATGTCTTATCTACATTCTCTTCTCAGGACCGTATAGGTATTTCTTAATCTTAATCTTCCAACTCTTGTTGCCTCATATAATCTATTTTCTGTCTCTGTGATTTTCCTTCCTGACCTAATTCTCACTTCTTGTAGCTCCAAAAGCAACAAAGCTTTTGTATAGCTTTGGATATGGTCAAAGCTTCAAAGCTCCCAAAAGACAGGTTTGGTATAGCTCACATTTGTGTAACATGCACTCTGTATAAGGAATACAAAAACAGTTTGCATTATTACTTGTATGAGACTTTATCATTAGAAAATCTACTACAGTTCCTTTCACTGTATAGTTTGGAAAGTAACACAATGCATATTCTCCAGATCTGTGTTTGTGGATAATAGTAGATTTAAACAAAATAATATAAAGAAACTTTAGAAGTATAGTTTACATTTTGATGAAAGTCAATTGTTGGGGCTGTTCGAAGTAAGATATTGCAGTCATTTGTCTCCTGTTCTCTTTGTTCTTAATTCTTGCTTTTTTTCCCAACCCTCTTCTTCTCTATTTCAGCAAGACAATAGAAATCAAAATAATTGATGATGAGGAGTATGAAAAAAACAAGAACTTCTTCATTGAGATTGGGGAGCCACGCTTGGTGGAGATGAGTGAGAAGAAAGGTGGGGTAACTGCTCAGAGCTAAGGCCTTAATGCCATGCCTGAATGTCACTCAGGGATGCCCGGCACTGTAAGATGCCCAGAACATAAAGCTCACATTTAGAGTTGTGTAATAGGGTAAAACCTTTTTTAAAATGAATCCTGCAACCATAAATAATTGAATAAGGCCAAACCGACACTGGTTCTTTTTAAGATAGCTTCTGATCTTGATGCACAATGATCTCAATCTGATCTCAAATGGCAATGATCTGGAGATGTATTGGACATTTGCCTGTGTGTGGTCTGCTGTCAGCAATAATGCAGCGGTACCAGATACAATAAAAACAAAGCTAAATTTCAACCAACCTAATCCAGCTCTGTAAACTATAAGTTGCCAAAATACAGAGAAGTATTTTGTAGCAGAAATAATAAGTTTATACCCAATTGCACATCAATTATCTGAATGTGGTGCAGGCTCCCTCCCTTCATAACATCTCACTAACCATCACGTAGTTTACTTAAGCACGTGAGACTGTGATGGACAACTCCAATCCATTGTTTGCCTTTGTCTTATGTTCTTACAGGAAAACCATTTCCATTAAAATAGTTGACCGTGGGGAATATGAAAAACAAGCCAGTTTCTTCATTGCACTTGGTGAACCTGTATGGATCAGACGAGGTGTGAGAGTAACAAAAGACATTTTGAGAATTGTTTTCTTCTCTGTTCGTGTCCTACTCTCACACTGACTTTCTCCTCTTACCTTGCTGTCTAAAGCCTTTGCCATGCCTGACTGTCGGGTGTTTATTCTGTGTTGTTTTTGCCCATGACTAATGTTAAACTGTCTTTGATGCTGTACGGATTCTAAAGTACAAAGATTCTGGTACAACAGTCCCAAATTTTATTTTTAAACATTGTACAATATAATTAATTCAACAAAAGTTTTTTTTCATTCACTGTAAAAATCGAAATTAAGAAATTAACATATGCCCACAGTGAATTACATTGCCAAATTAACTTATTTTTTCCGGTTGAAAAAAACAGATTGATGATAATTTTGAAAGAGAGTAATCAAGGATTTTACGAATGCAAATTAAATTTAGGTTGCTTTTGGGGATTTTATTTCAACATTTTGCAGATATTGAGGAAACTGGTACTTAGGATGATTACCCATTGATGATGAGTGTCTGCACATTCTTTGTCTGCACAGAATTAACCAGAATTTACAAAACTGCACTACACAGTTGAAAGTAATTTCACAAGTCAAACCTGAACTTTTCTTTCTTGCTGTAATCCTTCCATTGTTTTATCTTCAATTCTTTACTTTTCCATTCTCACTGTTCTGTATTTACTTTTTTACAGCCTTGTTGTTGAATGAGCTAGGTAAGCTGTCTCCCCTTTCTGTTTTTGTTTGCTATGTACATTAGCCATAACATGATAACTATAAACAGGGATGACATGGGGTCCTGGAGGCTGGCAATTCCATTTAGATTAGATCTAAAGCGTACGTTTCATCATCAGTTCTCCTAAACTTCAATTTCCCCATTGTGGTGTGGATCTCTAGTCTGCCCTGAGTTAGCTGATTACAACGGGGGCCACACTAACAGTCGTATAATTTACTTTGTCATCCTTGAGAGAGTGAGAGAGAAAGTCAGTCGGGATTCTTTGCTCCTAGTCACTACCCAATAAGCCCGATGGAAACTGCTTATATGTGGATTTTGGCTCTGCACAGCATCAGGCGCAGCTGGGATATACCCCACGGTTGAATAGCCTGCCAACATTCAATGTATTGGTTCACACATAAAGAACAGCTGCTCAAACAAAGTTCTAGTGAACCATGCGCTGCTGATGTATAACTATTCCCCAAACACCTTCAGAACCACCTTCAGAAGAGGGAAGATAGTCAGAGGGAAAAATAGAAATGATTAACTCTCATATCCCTTTATGTTTCCCTTTGTTTAAAAAAAAGTACGGAAACTAAAACAATAGTGGTTGTAGTAGGAGTCATTAGGGCTATGGCTTAAACCAATATTTCTTTCCTTCATTTAGTTCATTGTGCCATTCCCATGCCCTTGTGTTCATCTCCCTCGTTTTAAATATTGCTTCACATGTACTGGTTCTTTCCTTTTTTTTGTTAGTTTGTCTAGTCTTAAGTTCTTGGTCAGTGGCTTCTGTCTTGTAAATTTGAATCAGAAATTGTGGGGTTTAGAAATTGATTAGCTCGTACCCCAGAAGTGTTCTACACTTTAACAATTTGCCTATCATAGAATCCAGCCAGAGTTAAACCCTCTGATACACATGGACGTTGTGTGTGAGCTGACTGAGATTCCCTCTCCCTCTGGAGTAATGGGGTGGGTAGCTAGAGCTGCCGCTTTATTGCCCGATTTTTCCATTTGCAGATAGAGCAGAAATAAGCTCAGCTGGACATTGACCTTATCTTTCTGGGATTTTTTTTCCCTTTCAAAGTCCCTTCTTTTCAAACAGAATTAGGAAGAACTTGTGGCAGTTTGTTTTCGAGCTTAGAAGTGGCTGTGACTAATCACTCGGCGAGATGTCCCACCTAATGCCAATGCCGGCGGTGGCTGGGACCATTGCCATCTCTGTGCCTTCAGTGCACTTGGCAGGGCTGTGAATATATCACATTGTGTGGTGGCCACCAAAGTGAGAAACCAGAAAACGTAGGATAGCAATGTGTTACTTCTCACCAAGAGGAAAAATCCTGTTTTTACTTCAGTACGTTAAAACCTTAGAGATGACAGGAAAGCACGATTTCTCTGACTTGTATAAAAAGTATGTTGTTGCTAAAACAATAACAATATTTTTTGATATTATTACTGATAGGAGGCTTCACAAAGACAGGTATGAGACGCCGCCTATTGAATTTCAGTGTGCTTACATTTTTCATTTTTTTACATTTTCTGGAATCCCTTCTGTATTTATAACTATACTGATCAATTTCTTTGTTTTCTTTTAATCCTTCTTCCTCTTAAATCTGAAGGAAAATGCTTCAGTGGTAAGATTTTATTAAATTATATTGAATTTCCTCGGCACTCCTTAATCACAAACCTTATGACAGCAGATAAACATCACAGCACTTTATAGTACTTTAAAGTACTGCAGCATAAGTAGTCTTAATGCATAGTTTCATATCTTCACTATAATTGGTAAAAAATAAAATTTTAGACACTTTAGTACCTAACATTAAAATAATAATGCAGCCATAAAGCATATTTATTGAATTATCAGATTACTTTATTAACCCAAAAATAATGGATATTAGTTTTTACTTTTTGGTGAATGGATTCTGACGATTGAATCATTTGCTGTGGATTATTTCCCTGTTTTTAGGCCACGCTATCTACAGGAAGGTTCATTTTAGGGACAATCCAGTCCCATCTACTGTCATCTGCTTTGCAGGTATAATGAGCACTTGAGTGTTGTAAATCACTGGCTGCACTTCAGTTGACATGGAGAAATTGCATTTTTTCTCAATAATTTAAAACCCTGTTCTGACATATTCAGTAGTTCATGTTTCATAGCTCACTCATTAAAAGTAATAGCTTTTGTCAAAAGGACTGAAGCACCATAATTATATTACCACAACGACGTTCTGAAAGTTTTGCTAGTAATTGCCTTTTCTGCATTTTGCAATTGTCACATTGTTAGTTGGTGGTTATTAGTACTAGCTACTAAAGTCACTCGAGTAATTTATTAATTATGTTAGAACTTGCATGTACTTGTCCTTATGTGGCTGCTCGATACCCTAAGACCATTCTATTATTCCATTCAGGGTTATTTGGAGTGAACATGAATTTATTTGACTTTAATCTACAGAACATATGGTCTGCATAACATCGGATCCAATGTAAAAGTATTATATAATAATGTAGTTGAATATTCTAATCCATAGACTAGTATAAAATAATACGATGGTCCTTGAATTAGGAATTTGCTATCAGCCAATCTGTAATGTTGAAGCTCCTGCTGACACTACCTTAAATCATTTAATCAAAAAGAGTACATGGGAGTGCCATGCAGTGCAGTAAGATATCCAGATCAAAGACATTAACCAAGAATGAAATGAAATTTAAACATGTTTTTGCTTTGCTCTCATCGATGATTTTGCGGAATCACAATATGTCCTGGCTGCGTACTCACCTATATGTAATACCTCTAAAATTATGAAGTTGTTTATCGTACACTTTCAGAAACTTAGAAACATCCTTCATGTTGATTGTAATTGAATTGTTACTATAATTCATATCAGATGTAATGGTGGCAGGAATTCTAATTGAAACCCACTATCTGATATGTACGTCACAAGTGGTTATCATATTTAATTATTTAGTATTTCAAAGAAAAATAAATTTTTCCTGAAAAATAATCACCGAACAAACCCAATACTCAAGTAAATCATGTTAGTGAACACGATTATGAGAAAGCATCATCAGTGTCACATAAATGATAAAGGTTGCTTAATCTGATCAAGGGTTGAATGAAAAAATTGACTGAAAAATGGCTACCTATTAAATTACGAAAGTCATCATTTTATGCTGTTGCTGCCATTTTAATAAGTAATGGAAAACAAACACAGAAAATATTTCTGAAATGTAGCAGAAAAACTAATTTTAATAGTACACTTTGAATCAAAAGAACACCATATCAAATATTTACTGTGCTATTATTTGATAACATATGTAGCTATCTGTTTTGTGATTGAAAGTTTCAATGTCCAAAGACTCACAAAGCTACGTTACATGGACATACATACAGACATACTGTGTTTTTAAGGCACCAACATGAATTGGAGTTTGATCCCTTTAGGGTAATTCCGTGATTGTCTGTAAATTTACCAACCATATCATGGTTAGTTTATGAAGGAATGTTTGTCACACCAAACTGCCTCATTAATTTTTTGTAATTAATGCCATGTTCCAACTCTCTCTGAATCTCTTGATATTTTTACTGCTCAGCTGCTTATTATTATCCATTTTCTATTTGAACGATTCCATTGATCAAGCTTCAATAGCCTCTTATAGCAATGGAATCATGTCGCCTATAAAAGCCACATTAAAAGTATATTTTTGAAATTGTAAAATCAGAAGGTTTTTTTTGTAAATTATTGGTTAAAGGACGACTGTGTTATAATACACCTCCCTGGAGCAGGGTCCATTTATACATAGATGTCTGTAGACCCATGTCTATTGTCCTGTGAACTACAGCATGCAAAGGAAATCAGCCGTTCTGTGCCAGAAGTGAGCTGAGCAGCAACCTGACAACCCAGAAATGGTGTTCAGCGCAGTTGTTTTCCTTCGCAGACCAGTTATAATGTGAGGTCTAAATTCTTGGACCGAAAACAGCCCATTGTAACAGAGAAGTCCTGCATTTATCCCATTAACTTCCTTTATAGCCCACTTTCCTCTGCATGTTCTCAACCACGTATGAGGCAGGACAGATCAGGCCATGGGTTTCTTCATAATTGCTGTCCATGCTGCTCTGTGATCAGCTGTCTGGAGAGATCATTCATATGCAGCAACCTACAAAATACCAGTCTGTTCTTTTGGTACTTCACCTGCTGACCCATAAAACTGACAGGCTCCAGCAGACAGCCAGGCTACTCTGAGCCCTGAACTGCTGGCCTTTCTGTCTGTCAGTCCACTGCTGTTTTTCCTTGATCAGCTGTCTTGAGCAGTTGATTAAAATCTATTATGTCAACTAGATGTAGAAACCCAATTTTAAAGGTAACCTGCTGTTTCCACTTAGCAAACTTTGCAATTGTGATTCAGTATTTAGGATCTATCTATATCTGAAATGAAATTTGTGTATCTAAAGCCATGACTTTTTGAAATTCTTAACTTGTGACATAGATGTTGCTTGTATACAGTATGATTGTTTTTGTCCTACCATTATCTCCATGAAATATGTTTCTTATTACCTGGAGATGATGTGACCACCGAGAGCAGACAGCACTGTGAGTAAAGCTTTTCAGAGGGACCTTATACCATAAACCACATACTAACTTACCCATAGAACTATAGAAATTTACAGAACAGCAGAAGCCAATGTATCTGCTGGCTTTTTTTAAAGAGCAATTTACCTGCCCTTTCCCCATACCACAACTTACATCCCATTATTCAAAGTTAGTATTTTCTTGTTTTCGTTTGTTAATTTGTTAACTATGGTAGTGAGCTAATGTCATTATTAAACAGAATCAGAATGACAAGCTTCGGAACCAATCAGGCTGTTTACCTGACACTCCTTTGGGTGAAGTGGCTCGGGACATGCAATGGACAGTGCGGTGTGAGCGGGAAATGAGTTTTGCTCACCCCAAGGTCCCGCTGTTGTGATTGTCTGTGTCTTTCTCTCCTGTGTATGTGTATATGTGTGAGTGCCTGTATGTGTGTCTGTATGTCACTCTCCTCTGTATGTGTCTCTGTGTGAATGGTTCTCCTCTATGTATGTTTTTGTGTGTGTTTGTGATTGTGTGTCTCTCTCTCTGTCTGAGTGTGTGTCTCTCTGTGTCTGTGACTCTCTGTGTCTGTGAGTGTGTCAAGCTCTGTCTGTGATCATATGTCTCTGTCTGTAAGTGTGTGGCTGTCTATGAGTGTATGTCTCTGTGTCTGTATGTGTGTGTTTGTGTCTCTCTCTCTATCTGTGAGTGTCTTTGAGTGTGTGTGTCTCTGTGTCTGTAAGTGTGTCTCTCTGTGTCTGTTAGTATATGTGCCTCTCTGTGAGTGTGTGTCTCTGTGTCATAAATGGGTCTATCTATTTGTCTGTGAGTTTCTGTGTTTGATTGTGTTTCTCTGTGTCTGTGAGTGTCTGTGACTGTGTGTCTCTCTCTGTGAGTGTGTTTATGTGTGTGTGTCTCTCTCTTTCTGTGTGTGTGTCTTTCTGTCTGTGCACAGTGGCGGCTCCGAGAGGCAGGAGGTGGTGACCCCCTGGGGCCCGTTAGTCAGGACTAATCCATCATCCCGCCTAACCCCCCCCTACCCAGTGTTTCGCCCGGCCGGGAATCGAACCCAGGTCTCTTGCTTGCGAGACGACTGTTCTAACCACTAAGCTACAGGACTCCACTTTCTGCAAACATTTGTCAAATTTCCCCACAATTTTCTATTGGCCTTGCCCATAACCCAATCTTCACTTCATTCCTCCTCAGTTATCAGTTCAGCCCAGTGATGGGCTATAAATCACATTCTAATCTTGTATCCTCTTCATATTAAATAAACCAGAACAATTCAACTTAGAGTATAATTGATCCAGTATTTCTTTGACCATCATTTATGTATTAGTATTTCATGACAAGTCCGCATATTTTTGTCTTTACATTTTGGTACACATGAAAGGTCCTTATTGTGTACATAATCATGTTATATAGCCCTTCTGTGTGCAAGCAAACATGTAAGCCTAAGAAGAAGGGAAACAATGGCTTTGAAACAGTAGGTTTATTTGAGTTTTGCGCTGGCACATTGTATGCGGACTCAAAGAAGGAATTGACGCTCGGTAACCAATGCATACTTCAGTTTTACAAAAACTGTGTTTTTTTATTTAGAGATGAAAAAAATTATAGTTCAGATTAATTAAAGATTGTACCGGTCAACATTTTATCATCCATAACAAGCATCTTCCATGATATCCCGATCAGTCCATTTCACACCTTAATATTCGATCTTCTTCACTCTTTTGTGCATGGCATTTCATTTCTGATCTGTCCTTTACGAAAAGTGTAACATCTTGTGTCCTTCTAAATCTGAGTCTGTCTTTTACCTGTTTTGTTTCTCATTAGATATGTACCTGAGAGGAAAGAACTGTATCAGGACTTGTCTGTCAGAATGTTTAGAAAATGTGTCTTAACATTTACCTTTAAAAAAATATTTTTAAAGAACATAGTGTATTGGTTTGAAAACAGTGCATTTCATGTTTGAAGCATTAGGTGAGAAGGGACTTATATTTGATGCCTAAAAGTCTTGTTAATAATTTATTATTAAGGCAAGAATTGTCTACCACAATGCAATGTAGTGGAGCATCTACACTTTTCATATGTGACAAATTCAGTACAGTACACCAGAATTTTCACACAAAGACATTGTCATAATATACAAAAAAGGATTGGAGTATTAGCAAAGGTGTCTATTTTTATCACTGCAGTTTATTTCTGTGTTAATCTCTAGTCCCATGATTGTATTACAGATGATACTGAAAAAAATGAGCATCCCCTAACAAACAAAGAGGAGGAAGAAAAACGAATAGCTGATATGGGCCGCCCTGTCCTTGGGGAACATACAAAGCTGGAAATCATAATTGAGGAGTCCTATGAATTTAAGGTATCGAGCAGCAGTCCTCTATAGCTTTGGTGGTGGCTGATAACATTGAGAATATGTTCAAATAATAATAAGTAGCAATCCTTGCATTTGGTAAGAAGCCTTTCAAATCTGGAGGATGTCTCAAAGCATTTTACAAGATTTACTGTAGAGTATAATGACTTTGTAGGTGAACCTCCTTTCTGTCTGTTCAATTGGACATTAAATATACTGTGGCACTATTCAAAAAACAAAAGGGAGTTTCTCTCTCCCGGTGTCCTGGCCAACAATTCCCCAAATAAAATTGGTCATGGCTGTTTGTTGGGATGTTGCTGTGTGCAAATTGGCTGCCGTATATGCCTAAACAGATGTTAAACAGGTTAATAGATCTATGGGGAAAAAAATCTGGATTTACTCTATTTCTGTAATAACTCTGCATGTCCATAATTACCAAATTATTGAATTCAATCTTAACTTTGAAGTTCTTAAACAAATCTACAGAAACTCTGGTTTAAAATCAATGTTGTATTCCCAGAATTCCCAAATTTTGGTTATTGTAAAAAGTTACATAGAGTAAATCTAGACCCAGGTAGAATTTCTTCCCAGTATTTTCCTCTTCTTTTATTATGCCTTAACACATAAACACACCTCAAAGCACTTTTATCAGCTGGGTACAGAATTAGACATGAGAGATCTGCTGAATATTCTCAAAAAAAACATGCAGAAACCGCACTCCACTTTGTGCAATGGTGTTTGGGACTTCCAAAGCTCCGTATTTGGTCTGTAAAATATGTTGGAATCCAGATGGTAGGAGTTCAGTCCAGGATAGTGAGGCTAACAAGGGGGTTGAATTCAGGTGAGGGTTGAATTCCAATCTGCTCTGAAGAGTTGTAAGTATGTTGAATTCGCCTACGCTGGAGGCTAGAATATAATTGCTCTACGTGTTGGCTGGCTGGCATTAGAGCTGGATGATATTTCACATGTGTTGGTTTTGAGAGATAGTTTGCCGTCTGTGCTGCATTAAGGACCAAAAGGTGTCTCGGGTATAATCCACAGTATTGTTAGCCAGGCAGTTATTAGTGTGGTGCTTTGGAAACTCTGCTGCGATAAGATACGGAATCTATTCTGTATCACAATAGAAGTGTGATGGATGAAGAAGGACCTTTGTTCCTTGAATATTCTTCTGGAATTCCAACCTTATCATCTTCGCATTATAGCATAACACTACTGAACAATTGGCATGTTATTGTTATAAAATGACTTCAACAAGAACAACTTTCATTTACATAGCGGCCTTCATATAGCATATCATCTTATTGCACTAAAAGAAAAAAGACTGATTTGAATAAAGAAGGCCCTTCGACACATTTGATTTAATCCTTCCAGAAGACCCACCCTGCTGTCTTCCCAGCATCAAGTTGATTTTTTTTAATTAGTGCTGTGTCCTGGCCACAACCTTCCTCGCAACCTGTTCCAGATGTTAATTACCCTCTGAGTAAGGAAAAGCTTCCTGGTTTCTGTCCTGAAACATAGGTAACTGCTCTCAAATTGTTTCTACGGGTAGTGTCGGGGACATGGTTAAGACCTTATTTACATGTGTAGTGGGAAATTACTGTTAATATTGCAGAGGTTCTCCCCAAGCCCAGCTATAATTCATTCATTCCCTAGATTTGGCATCCTTTTAAGCTAGTTTTTGAATGTTTTATATTAGGTAATTGAACCAGTCTTTGGTGGGAAGATGTAATTGATCTTGTCAAGCTATGTGATATTAAAGTTTAAAGTTCTCTGAACATTTGCAGCCACACCCACACTGGTTGGTATGGTCACAATATACAGGTTGGAGATTTTGTCCCCAAGATCTGTAACCCAGTGAAATCTCACATAGTTATTACTTTATGTTCATGTTTTGTTATAGAATACCGTGGACAAACTGATCAAGAAGACAAACTTAGCACTGGTTGTGGGCACTAACTCTTGGAGGGAACAATTTATTGAAGCAATCACTGTGAGTTCTGGTAAGTAAAAACTTAGACTTATAAACATGATTAAGCTTCCTACCTGTAATCTCTTTATTTTTAATGTTTTATATAATTTTTTTGTATGCTTCTTAGTGTTAAGTTATTGAAAGAACTGCTTTGTTACACCATTTTGCTGAAGAATTACAACAACAAATTTAAAAAAAGGGGAAGTAGGGTAATTGAAGGAACGATCGAAGAGGTGGATCTAGGGACGGGTCTTGAAAGAGGCAATGGAGGGAGTGAGGCAGAGGGACTATGGGATGGAGTTCTAGAGGCCGGGGGCAGACTTGCTGAAGGCCCGCCTGCCAGTGGTGGATAGGCGAGGCAGGGATCATGAAACAGGCCAGAGCCTGCTGCGCGGAGGGAGCGGGCAGGTTGGTAGGGGATTAGAAGGTTCCAAAGGGAGGGGGGAGCAAGGTCATGGAGGGCTTTGAAGGTGAGGACCAGGATCTTGAACTGTATCCTCTGTGTGATGGGAAGCCAGTGGAGTCGGGGAGGATAGGGTTGATAGGGTCACGGAGCCGGTGTGGGAGGGACATGGGCTGCTTAGTTTTTGATGATCTGCAGCCTATGGAGGGAGGAATTGGAAAGGTCGACAAGCAGGGAGTTTGCGTAGTTGAGCCTGGATGTTATGAATGCGTGTATGAGGGTCTCAGCGGCCTGCCGTGTGAGATAGTGACGGAGCCAAGCGATGTTGTGGAGGTGGGGAAAGGCAGAGCGGATCATGACACAGATGTGGGGGATGAAGGACAGTTGAGGGTTGAACAGGACACTGAGATTCTGTATTGACTCTGTGAGTTGTACGGTGCATCCATGGGGGGAAATGCTCCAAGTCAGCGCCAGAGGTGTGGGTGTGCTGACGGGAGCCAAGCATGAGGACCTCAAACTTGTTGACATTCAACTGCAGGAAGTTAGCTCTCATCCAGGACTTGATGTCTGGCAGGCAATCTGAGGACAGCAGTGGTCCTGGAGTCAAAGGTGGAGCCAGAGAGGTACAGTTAGGTGTTATCCGCATACGTGTGGAAGTTGACCCCATGTCTGTGGATGATGTCACCAAGGGAGAGCATATAGGTATTGAAAAGGAGAGGGCCAAGGACAGAGCCCTAAGGAACGCCACACGTGATGGTGCTGGAGCTGGAGGAAAAGCCATTAGTGGCGACAGTGGAGACGGTGAGAGAGGTAGGATTCGAACCAGGCAAGGGCAGGACCTGCTGAGAAACCTAGTTATATCTATATAAAGCAGCACACATTACATAGTTGCCAACAACACATTACAATGAAAGGTGCTATAGATTGGTGAAGCATCCTGTGAAAACCTCGTACAATCTACTTGCCCTGTTTTATGCATCCTGTGATATGCTAATTTAAAGAATATTATTAGGATAATATTCCACCTCAGTGTAGTTTAACACAGCATTTCACTAGTCCAAAATTTGTCATGTCATGTCCTGGACTGATAACTGACAAATGAAGATCAAAACTGATAAATGTTCTGTAGGATGAAGAATAGCAAACACAAGTACTCCACGGATTGCATGAAACTTGCCAAGGGGGAAACCGAAAGAGATGTAGGCTTGTTAGTTGACTTGTTTCTCACTATGTCAAAACAGTGTGAGGCAGCAATAAACAAGGCAAACAGAATGCTGAGCTATATTGTTAAATCAGTTGAGTTTAGATCGAAAGACGTCCCTGAGGCTGTACAATGCTCTGATCAGACCCTCCTTGAATACCGTATATAGTTCTGGTCACCAAGACGTTAGGGGCCTATCTAGGTTCTAGAGAAGAGCAACAAGGATGAGTTAGAGGAATGAGGTATGAGCAATGAATAGACAAGTTTGAGCTCTTGCTTGAGAGAAGATGAGTCAGGAGAGATCTCATAGAGATGTCAAAATTTCCTATCCTGCAAGTTGGTGGTGGTGGAATTTCTACCCCTATGTGTACATAAAGTATTAAACTACCAGGGAATAAGCTCTTTCTCTCACCTGTCCAGATTAGGCATTTCCTGTGTAACTGGAAATAAGAACATGTATACAGTAAAGCACATTTATTTTACACAGGAAAAGGGCTGCCTTAGCTTGAAAAAGTATCGTGGAGCATGTTAAATATATTTTCTTTCTTGAAATGTTACCTTTCAGTTTGTTGAAAGGTTATTAGCATTAAAATCAAATTAGTTTGCATTTGAATAAACATATATGAGAGAAACTAAGCAATTTATGTATCATATAATTTTCCTCACATGCATTCCCATGCAGCTTTGCTATAACAAAGGGATGGATCCATATTATTCCAATCCAAATGATAGCAAGGAGTAAAAACCAATTTCACTGCACATGTATGGCCGGCTGGTTCACTCCCTGAGCACCAGCTGGTAACTATGCTAAAATAACGCCTGACATCCAGGTCACCGCTGAAGCCAATTCCTGCTTTGCGGATACAAAAACAATTTGCATTTATATAGCACTTTTCATGTCTGGAGAACATCCCAAGGCAAGTTGTTGTTGTAGGTGGTGTTGGAATTTCTACCCCTATGTGTACATAAAGTATGAAAATACCATCAAATAAACTCTTTATCTCAACTATCCAGATTGTAGAGTCCTGTAGCTCAGTGGTTAGAGCACTCGCTTTGCAAGCGAGAGGCCTGAGTTCAATTCCAGGTAGGTCAGGGCGAAACCTTGGGCAAGTTTCCTTACTCCACACAGAGCCTAATAATAATCCCTCCAAAACCAAAAACAATAATAAATTGGTCATTTTCAATCTACGACTGTTTGTGGGACATTGCTGTGCGCAATTGGCTGCCGCGTTCGCCCACAAATATAGTCAATTCACTTTACAGTGTGTTCTGTGAAGCACTTTGGGACGTCCTCCCGACGTGAAAAGCGCTATATCAAATGCAAGGATTATTATTATTATTATTGCTGTGCGCAATTGGCTGCCGCGTTCGCCCACAAATATAGTCAATTCACTTTACAGTATGTTCTGTGAAGCGCTTTGGGACGTCCTAAATGGACCATGGAAAGAATAGTTTCCTGCAGTCAGGGTCATAGCGTTTAATGCTGAAAATAAAGACAGAATTTTAGCTGTCTGCTATATTGTACCGGATGATGGAAACTGGCTTTCCTCCCATGCCTGTGCCCTTTTGGATTGTTTGATTGGATTATCCATTGACCTACTGCGTTTGATAGCTCCTGAGGGAAATTAAAAGTATTTCTAAGTTAAACTATGTGCTGATATGATTTTAAAATTATCTCTACATTGCAGTCGAGGATTACCTCTTATTCTCCTCTCTTTTTGCTGGGAAGAGTAGGGCTGTTTTCTTGTTCCCTCTGAATTCATCACCTACTGCTGGTGATATACCAGGACCTTGATCTGGAGGGAGCAAGCCATCAGCAAAGAATGAGATGGAGCCACAAGGTGTTTCTCTTCAGTGAAAATCAAGGTTCTGAGAGTTCCATCTTTTAGTAGTTGGTTGCAAATTGCTTCTCTTTTTCCCTATTCAGTTATTTTTCAGAATTCCAGCAGGGTTTAGAGGGGTTGGGTGGTATCAGGATTCTGTTAGTGTCCTGTCATGATGTTGGCTCAGTATTTTCTTTATGGCATCGCTTTCACATTTTGTCCTGGAGGAGCCTCTCCATCTATTGAAGTCTATGCCTTCCAGGGAATATTGGCACCTGAAGACATATTTCACATGCAGACATGTGCCTCAACCAATAGACAACTGAGAGATGGGAGTCTGAAATCCTTCATGTTCACATTTCCTGTTCAGCATGATACATACTGACCAGATGGGCATATTTCAAGTGTTCTCAAGAGAAGGGAAGCATTCCATTCCAGGAATAAGAACTCTCTCTGCATTACACCTCAAGGCTTGATTACGGGAACTCCCTTCTCATCGGCCTTCCGAACGCTTCCCTTCACAAGCTGCAGATCATCCAAAACTCTGCAGCTTGTGTACTCTCACGCACTAGGCCTATCACTCCCATCCTCGCCCGACTCCACTTGCTCCCCATCCGCCAGAGGATCGAGTTCAAGATCCTCGTCCTCACCTTTAAGGCCATCCATGGCCATTGCCCCCTCCTACCTCTCTGACCTGCTGACTCCCTACCAACCTGCCTGCTCCCTCCGTTCATCAGACTCCAGCCTGCTCCAAGTCTCCCGCCCGACCCCCCCCTACCATCGGTGGCCGGGCTTTCAGCCTCTCTGCCCCCACACTCTGAAACTCCATCCCATGGTCCCTTTGCCTCACTTCCTCCCTTGCCTGCTTCAAGGCCGGTCTCAAGACTCGTCTCTTCGATCGTGCCTTTGGTCTCCCTCCCACCTCTCTGCCTTCCCTCACCTCTACACCACCCTTCCCCTATGCTCGGGCCCCGACAGCTGACTATTCAGTGCTTTGGAACGTCCTCCCAACGTGAAAGGCGCTCTATAAATGTAATTTTGTTGTTGTTACAAGAAGTGCAAACTATTAGGTAGGAATAGAGTGTTCAAATGCATCGAGCCAAGCCAATGTTGATTAATGCCAGCAATGGCCAACATCAGAAAATATCACAGAGCGTATTTACTTCCCCGGATCATTACAGGATCTGCCGCAGTCTAGCTCAACTCCCAACAGTATGTAGAGAATGAACAGAACTCCATATGGAAGATAATCTTTTTTTTCTAATCGAAACTTCCCCAAAAATCTCATTTAAAACTTACAATTCCTCCAGAGAATTCCATCATGCTGAATTGTAAGAGAATTTTTAATTGTTTCGCAGAGAAGTTGGCATACATTTATTTTAGCAAACCTGCCTAAATGAAGCAGATATTTCTTTTTCCTTCCGCTGCTTGTTTAATATTGCACATATTTTAATATTTGCATTGTAAATAAAAGGGCAGTGAGAAAAGATTTGCTTTGAACTCTTGAGAAAATAAAGCTGCCACAGTTACAAAGCAAACTGACCATGTAATTAAATGTTTATGTGCTGCACTGTATAGTTCGCACTGTGGGCAGTGATGTTTGT